TAGTATGTTGAAGAGGACGGTGACGGACAGTTTTTGTGTTTGGTCATCTAAGGATCAGCTCATCTTTGTCACGGCTTACTCTTTCACGTGATTTCAGTACAACCTAGCTTTTTCAGTACAGGTGGTGGTGCACTCTGATCTGCTTCCACAGAGCTGTTTGCAGACTCCTCTGTGAGCAATAGTACTGTTTATTTCTGCAGGATCTATACATGTTATTTGCAATTCTTTAGTTTAGTGAGGAGGGAAGTTTTGCATACCTCTGGAGCCCAGGAGTAGCCCAAGGACACACTAGAATTAGCTCCTTCTGCTCCTCCAGAAATTTGGTCCTAAACTGTAACTTACGTGATCAGCCTCTGGACTAAATGATGATGACCTGAACCACTCCTCCTTCAAGCAAAGGGCTGTTCTAAGGAACAAGGGTGGCTGAGCACACTATTAAAGCTAATGCACAGCTGATCTTTATTAAATTGTGATGCTTAAAAGCAGGCCTATGCAATATGGCTTTAGATTTGTCCCAGTCAAGCTGGTTCCTTCAGAAATCCACTGGCATCTATGCCACACCTGCTCCGTAAAGCTCCGGAGGTGGCTTAGCATAAACTGTGCCCCTCTGCCTCCACAGTGCCCTCAGGCAAACAGCAGTCAAAACTGGCATCTGGTTTTGCTTGCTATGATTGCCAACTGTAGAGTAATCACAGCTGAAGCACGGTCTTGTCAACTAGCACTTAACCATTTAACACTTTTGTTTATATTGAATGCTGAAGTAGGCTGACTAACAAGGGACGTGTCACTGTGACCTTTGCCTGTGCAAAAGGACAAAGCATACAGCAGCTGTGTTGGTATGAGATGCATGTTGGCAGGGCAACAGCACCAGCCCCCCCCCGTCTTCCCTCTGTGGGAGTTTTGTACCAACATATGGTGCACCTCAAGGGCTGGTTCTTCACCCCGTCCTTGCTCCTGCATCCCCTGCTCTCTCTAGAGCTGTGCAGCTGCAGTTACTTTGCACATTGAAATGCCAAGTCTGATTACATGGCTGGAGCCATTAAACTTGGTGTATATATTTGCAAAGTGACAGTCTAGTCCAGGTTCAGCACATCCCATTGCGTTTTCTAAACCTGTTTGAGGTTTAGGGTGGAAAGCAGTGACATACGGGGTAATTGTGAAGGATTACTGTATCCCAGTACTTTTTAACTTTAGCACTATCTTAAGTTTCGGCTCTGCCTGCTTTAGGAAGTGTTGCAGCTCAGTGGGGCACATGCAGAATGAAAGAGCTGGTCCAGATGTTCAGGATGTGTTTTGGATTGATTTTTACTCTCAGATTTGCTCTAGTTCAATCCTGCTGCCTGAATGCTCACTAGCAACTGGAGCACTTCTGGAAGCCATCTTCTAACTTGCTTTCATTTGAAAGGAAACTAGTTTGTCTTCTCAGAGCCTGCTCTGCAATGTGAACCACAGCATGGTGAGTGGCAGCTCACCCATTCGAAACATCAGAAGGACACAATAGACAAAAACTTGTTATTTTCTTTGAACATAGTAACTTCAGTAAAGTTATTTACTCTAACACTGCTGCCACCTGCAGGATCAATAATTGAGGTCGACATTGCCAGCCTCCGCCTGGGCTCGGTAGCTGCCAAGCCTCTCTTAGTTACAGTAATATTTGCAGTATTTAAAAATGAATTTTCTAAGCAGCAGAAAGGTTGGGTTTTTTCCTGTTGATCTGTGGCCTTCAGCAAATGTGGAGGGCAAACAGCTTTCTGCATTTGTCAATGCTGGTATCAGGTAAGCACAACTGAGAAGGTATGATCCAGTTTTTACAATGAGTTAGTGTTTTATATAAAACAGCTCACAAAATTATCATGGTTAAACCAAGTAGTTTGACAATATATGTAGGACATTTGACTGTTACTAATTCTCTTAGTGAGGCTTGAAGAATATTCCCAACATGCTGACAGGTGAGGCTGGCATTGATTTAAGTAGTCTTTCCCTCTTAGTCTCTTGTTCCCAGTGATTTATGACAGCCTTCCCAAAATTGTCATGGCTGGATTTCAAGCTTTTCCTGCCTTGCCATTTGTTTCCACACATTCAAGATGAGGTTGGACAGGGCTCTGAGCAACCTGATCTAGTTGAAGATGTCCCTGCTCATTGCAGGGGTGTTGGACTAGATGACCTTTAAAGGTTCCTTCCAACCCAACTATTCTATGATTTCACATTTCAGTAAAATAGTCCTTACTTTGAAGAAGAATTAGGAAAGGTGCTGGGTTCATCTTCCCCAGTGTTATACTCTTGTGAGCATCCTTAAACCAACCTACAGCCAGGTAAGCCTAAACGTGAGAATACCACATGCCCAATTAAATCCCATAAAGATGCTCATAGCCCAAGAAATATTTGTGTTTTGAACTCACAATCCCCTGTGTACCTGCCATCCCTTATGTAGTACAGCCATGAGTTGTGCAGTACATGTTCACGGCTTCATTGTTTGAAAAAGAATTCCAAAGCCAAGGCACTTCATTAGCAGCAATGCAAGTGAAACGCGGTTTAAGACTTAACTTGATCCCATATTGGACAGTACAGCTGTGGCTACAGACTTCTTGAAGCCTGGGTTGGCACATGTATTTTCTGTATGCATCGTGTGTTCTGTGCTGTGCTTTTCCTTAAGCAGGTCAGTTCATGTGGGCTCAGCCTCTTTAAACTTTTTTGGGGGACCTCACATTCCTACAGCATCTATTTTGTCTCCTGCTTGTCTGAAATCTTGTCTAGTCTAATCTGTTACTGCTGTGCCATTATGATAGAACGTATTTGTAATACTGTGTAAAAGTGAAGTCTAAGTAAAAGACTGTTTATCTCATAATCATAAATACAAGATGGATGTAGGTGAGGAAAAATGTTAAGTTCTATCTTCATATATAGTTTTTTCCCACGACCATTTGAAAAAGTTTTACGTAATTGGCATTGAAACAAATAGCATCTCTTCTTTCCAGGTGCTCAAAATTGTTAAGAACATCCTTTCAGACCACTATTTGCTAGCAAGGAATTCTCCAGTCCATAGTGACTGCGTATAAATGCAGGTTTCTGTTATTTATTGTGCTTAAAAACTACTTAGAAAGCAGTTTAAAAGTCATCAGCATTCAGCTTGTATTTTTCCTTTTTATTTGTATGAATACTAAACATTCATATGTCCTAGGTTTAAAAACTACACTACTTCAGAATCCTAGCAGCAGTAGGGATCAAGAATAAAGCAGTTAGTAGTACTGCCTTGATGTTGGTCTATTTTTAAGATAATTCTTAAAACACCCCCACAACCTTCGTCTGTGTCAAGTCTATTTAAAAGCAATAGGATTCTATGTATTTCAGACTCATTTTGGGGAAAGAATAACGCAAAGGGAATCTGTGCACTGGATCTCTGGCTTCTGCTTTTTAAGCATTAGTCCAGTGCTGAGGGCTGTATTTCCTGGGACATGGTGAACTTTTTTCGTATGAAGGGACACGAGTCATTCACTGCAAGAAGAAAAAAAATCAATGTAGTTATGAGATGTGAAGAGGCCAAAAAAGACTAAGGAATGCTTCAATGGAAGAATTTTTACCCCAAGATGACACAACAATTGGCTATCATGTCAAAAACAGTGATGAGGTATCACAAAGAATGAGAAAGGAAATGGAGGTAAGGGAGTCATTCTTTCCCTTCTTCTGCAGCTTGTGAATACCCCAGGCCAACATAACTAAAACGGTTATTTAATTTATAGTTGTGCAAACTTGGCATGGGACTTGTATTTGGGCAGTGCTGCCAAGTGCTATTTCCAAGTAAAACACGCTGTACTTTTCCAAGTGAGACTTTCTTGGTATTTGTCTTTTACCTTTGTGTTCCTGCTATGGCCCAGCAGATCTCTAGTGAAGTGGACATGCAACATTACAGTTATATTGCAATTTAATGTTTGATTTGAGATAAAATTGCCTTACCTTTAAAATTAGTCGAGGCCACTCCACAAGACTCGTTTCTTAATCATTGATTGGAATTGCATGAAGTGATTACGGAACACAAATAACACATAGAAGTGGGCTGAAAGCAAATAGCAGCCGTTAGCTGTGATACCGTAAGTAACAAGAGTGCTTGGGAGGCGACAGCACAGTTTGTTTTCTATTCAGCAAACCACCTTGCTGAAAAATATTTTTCAGCCTTATTTTGCTGTAGCACATAACATAGATCCATTTCTATACACACATATAACTATATGCTCCTGCTTCTCTTGCTGGGTTGGAAGCCGCATGCTTCTACCATCATATGCTACTGTGCAACTGTCAGAAAAAATGAAAAACCCAGACCATTTGCAATGTATGTTAAATAATAAGCTGTATGATATTTTTATATTAATTTTTGCTATAAGCTATTCAGTAGGATATATGTTTGCTGAGAAGGAGTGTAACATTACCATTCACCTCAGAATTTTTATTAACAAGTTCAGAAGAACAACAAAGGTCACACTGATCTCAGTTAAAACAGAAATCAATCTTCTTCAAATAGAACAGCTGCTAGGAATATGAACTCCTAGAAAATTCTGAATACTTTAAAGGTCTTGAAATACTGAGTTCTCCATCCTCTAGGGATTAGTATGAGCCCATTTCTTCCATATTAATAGTAATTTAGTGTTGCACATTAAAAAACCCTCATCACCAGTGAATATGACTTCACTGGTAACTAGTTGTAATATTGCACATTGTAAATTTTCCCTAAAAAACAAACACACCAACCAACCAACTGCACTGGGCTTCAGTTTTCACTGTTTGATTCTGTGTACAAGACTGAACATCAGACACAGAGCAGTGCACCAAAGGCGAAGAGCTAATAACAGACACACTCGAGCATGTCAGCGTCGTACTCACAAGAGTTTCCACCCGGATGTGATACAGTTCAATGTCAGAAGTAGAAAAAGTCTGTACAATCCATGCATATGGCACAACCCGTGTCTCTGACCATCTACAGAAAAAGCTATATGTAAACCCAGCTTCCCCAGCTCTGCATAATGCAAAGGTTAACACAAAGAGTATCAGTTCCACCTGCCACAAACCTCATCATATGACTGCGTAAGTGTACAACATCTTTTGAGCCATTCTCAAGTTTCCACTGCTCTGATAAATAAGTGACAAGTTAAAGGCAGTATCTCTTCTCAAGTCCGTCTGATCAGTTTCTATTCCCTGTAAAAATAATGATTAAAAAAAGTTATCTGTATGCAAAAACAGTATAAAACTTGAAACATGAGTAGCAATTACAGTGGAATCAAACCACATATTCATGGTTTATACCGGCCTTCAGCTGCATAGGAACAAAGAAGGCGTATTCCTTGTGCCCTCCCTCTTTAACGAGTTTCCACATGTTGTTAATCACCACAGAGTTATATAATTACATACTCAAAACATTGGCTGTAAATTAGATAGCCAGCTCGTTAAACGGGAAATTCATTTGTCTTTGTAGGCAAAGTACTTATTTCTACAATCAGAGTGTGAATGCTGCCTGTATCTTTTATGTGGTAAAGGATTCCTGCTTTGAATTCCCAGCACTGACTTACACCCGTATTTCTTACTTTACCAACCTTTCCCATTTGTGAAATACACTTGTAATTTTTCTACCTACCCATGCCAAAGCTGGGCAAAAACCTTCTCTCAGACCCGTCTTGTAAACATGTGACACATCAATTAGGATGGTCTAACAGAGATCAATTAGAGCAAAGCCACGGCTCAGATGCAATTAGCACTAATACTGGTTCCTATTGCTCCAGCACGCTGTTTTATAGCATGGGTGAGTATACAGAACTTCCAGTTATAATTTATTGCATGTAATAGATATAAAGTTCAGCTACTTATTCAGGTAAAGCTTAGCAACCCTTTTTGCTGCTACTTCGGCCTATTAGTGAATCCTTCAAAATTCATAAACCTTTGAAATTAACATATGCTTATATGCAGGTGACAATCATCCGGGCTGCTAATGAAACGGAATTACAACGCAAACTAAAGAAAACTCAACTAGATCGATTTTATGTACCTGTTTTAACTATGGCTGAGAACTTACTAACACTGACCTGACTTTATTCTCGGTACCTAACTTGCAAAGATACAGTACCTCTAAAGTGAGAGGGGGAAGCTCAAGTACTTTTTGGTAATAATGGATTGCCAGGTGCAGTAATCCCAGCTGGTGAAGGCCACGGCCGAGGTTATAGAAAGACTCTTGACATGGTCCACGCAGATCCAAGTACCGGTGCAGGAAGGAGAATCCCTGTATACATATTATGCACATTTGTGAATGTTCCCTTTAAGAAGATGGCAGTAAAATACACCGGGGAACAGGTGTTTAAATGTATCTGTTAAAAGTTTTGCTCTGTCCTTCCCCACAAAACCACATCACATTCGATTGCTGAGCCCATGAAAACTGCTGTCAGTCTCACTGCCGTTGATAACAACGGGTCGATCTTTCTAATAAATCAAATACACAGTTATTTAGTATAGTGACTTATGGCACTAGCTTGCTAAGTGTGTAAGTACGTATGTATGTGTTTACATAATATACACGCAGGAAGACTGGTTCGTGTTCGGAAGAG